GGTGGGCCCGGCGGGATGGAGGCCTTCCAGCGGGGTCCGCCCCGCGCGTGAGCCGGGGCCCGACTGCCGGCAGGGACCTTGTCCAGAGAAGTGAGCACGAGCACCAGTGAGAATTTCCTCTTGTCCTGCAGAGCTGCGGGTGGGGGACCCCCGAGCTCCCCGGGTCCCCGTCCCCAGGCCGCCGCGACCGCGCCCCCCACCGCCCCTGGAGCCCAGGCGCGGCGAAGGCGAGCGCGCCGCCATGGCCACGTTCAGGCAGGAGGACGTGGAGGACCACTATGAGATGGGCGAGGAGCTGGGCAGGTGAGCCGCGCTCTGCGAGGGGGAGGGGTTGGGGTGACGCGAAGTCCCCCCTTCCTGCCCTTTGTCCCTCTACGGAGTGAGTCAGCAGAGCCTGAGCTGATATGTGTGTGGGGTGGGGGGAGGTGGAGGAAGTTTGAGCTTTGGAATCTGACAGCCCTGGCCTTGAACAGTCTTAGAATCTGCTTTTTTGGGGGGACCCTTGAGCCTCCCCAGCTCTTGTTCAGCACCTAAGAGAGAAAGCAGTGGTTCTCCCTGTGAGGTAGCTGTTTGGGCCTCCCAGGGTGCCCCTGCCTTCCTCCACCCACGTCTGCTCAAGACTCAGACTTGTGTGTGTGTGTGTGTGTGTGTGTGTGTGTGTGTGTGTGTGGAGCCTCAAACCTTATTTGGTGAGTTTGCTGCTGGTCAGCCTTCCTGGAGCCCCAAGACCCGCCCCGTGATGTCACCAGGAGGGAATGTAAATAACTGAGCTCTGTGTCAGGCCACAGAGACAGTTCTTTGGCTCTTTGGGGATCCTGAAATGCTTTATCCGGCATTTCCTCCATCAGCCAGGCGCCAGGCAGAGAATGCAGCCCTGCCCCCCCACCCCAAGTCACTACTTGATGTGGGCAAATTTAGGATTTCCTTCCAGGAGCTGCTTTGGCTGAAGTTAGGAAATTTTAATCCACATACTAAATCATGCTTTGGTGGTTGTGGGACACTGGTTCCTGGACCCACCAAGAATCCCAACATCTTTTTCCTCTTTTTTTTTTTTTTGGTGCCAGTCCTGGGTGGGACTTGAACTCAGGGCCTGGGCACTGTCCCTGAACTTCTTTTGCTCAAGGCTAGCCCTCTACTACTTGAGCCACAGCACTACTTCCAGCTTTTTCTGCTTATGTGGGCAAGCACTCTATCACTATGTCACATTCTCAGCTCCTCTTTCTTTTCCGTTATTTTTAAAATTATTTTACTTTTACTGGTGTTAAGGACAAAAACCAAGACCTTAGACTCAAGTTTCTTTCTTTTTTGCCAGTCCTGGGGCTTGAACCTCAAGGTACTATCCCTAAGCTTCTTTTAGCACTCTACCACTTGAGCCACAGCGCCACTTCTGGCTTTTTCTATGTGGCACTGAGGAATCGAACCCAGAGCTTCATGCATCCTATGCAGCACTCCCTCAAGTTTCCTTAAATAAAGTGATGGTAGTATTTGTATCTAACATGGGGCTTGAACTCAGGGCTTGAGCACTGTCCCTTAGCTTTCTTCACTCAAGACTGGTGCTCTCTCTCTTGAGCCCAGAACTTGATTAACTAGATATGAGTCGCACAGAATTTCTTGCCTAGGCCAATTTCAAACTGAAACCCTCAGATCTCAGCCTTCTCAGTAGCTAGAATTACAGGCATGAGCACCTGGATGTATGTAATCTTTTTTGTTTTGTATGTTTGTTTTATGCTTTTTTGTTTTCATGTTATTGGTCCTGGAGATGGAACTCAGGACCTTATTATACTTGCTAGACAGTGCTTATCACTGAACTGCACCCCCACCCCCAGCCTGTGTGTGGAATTTTAAATGGTTGGCCAAAAAATTCTATTTGGTGACATGGAACAATGATAGGAAATTCCCCATTCAAAGTCAAAAGTGAAAGTTGATAATTAAGACCTTGGAACTTAGCTGGATTCATTCCTTGACCCCCACACTGCTTGCCTGAGGCTGAATAGATGACCATAACCAGCAGAGACCGTGTGGTATGAAAAGCTGAAAATATTCAGTGGCTGGCCTCTAATGAGTAGGGAGCCCAGTGCTGGTGGTTCACGCCTATAATCCTAATTACTCAGGAGGCTGAGATCTGAGTTCCTGAGGTTCAAAGCACCCCCAGACCATGAGACTCCTATCTCCCATTGGCCAGCAAAATGCCAGAAATGAAGCTGTGGCTCAAGGGGTAGAGTGCCACCTTTTAAGTAGAAAATGCTAAGAGATTGTTCCTCGGCCTGGATTTAACTCCCAGTACCAGCACTAAAAAAGCTTAAAGGCTGAGTGCACACCTCAGTGATAGAGCAGGAAAGTAGCATGTGAAAGGCACTAGGTTCATTCCCAGAACCACGAAAAAGGAAGGGAAAAAAAAAAGTTTGGTGAACCTCTTGTTTTCTGGCACATTCCTCTCTGGCTTTGCCCAGTGGATTCTCTTCTTACATCTGTTCATCTGCTTTGATCTGAGAGACTGCTGAGAGAGTGTCTGTCTCCTTCCTGACCACAGACTCTTCGGCCCAGGCTAGTGTCTGCTGGTCTTGTGCTTTGGGTGGAAGGTTTGTTTTCCTACCTGCTAAGTCCTTCTTGGTCCCACCCCATTTCCAGAGACCTGGAGTCCCTGGGGCTGGGAGGCCACCTGAGGCCAGACAGAATTGTGGGAGGATGAAGCAGGATCCGAGCAATGGGGGATAGGCGCCCCACTTTGTTCCAGGCCCCAGCCGGGAGGAGGACCAGCCTTTGCCACTGGTGACCTGTGGCCTGAGGCCGGCTGCCCTCCTTTTCATTCTTTTTTTTTTTTTTGGTCAGTCGTGGGGCTTGAACTCTGGGCCTGGGCGCTGTCCCTCAGCTCTTCAGCAAGGCGAGCGCTCTACCACTTGAGCTACAGCGCCACTTCCGGTTTTCTGGTGGTTTATTGGAGATAGGAGTCTCACGGTCTCTCCTGCCCGGGCTGGCTTTGAACCACGATCCTCAGATCTCAGCCTCCTGAGTAGCTAGGATTACAGGCGTGAGCCACCAGCGCCCGGCTCCTTTTCATTATTATTTGTTTTGTTTTGTTTTTAAAAGTATATTTATTGAACTATAAATGTACATTCAGTAAAATTCTGTTAGGACTTGATAAGTGCAGTTATTCAAACCCACCAGTCATGCTGCAAATTCATTTTAAAAAAATCCTTTATACTCCCTTGCAATCAACTTGTCCATCAATAAAGGGGTGAAGAAGTCAAATCTGTTTTGGATAACTTGTCTTCAGGATCTTCAGTTCTTTTAAGCACCAAGACCTTATGACCACCAGGACTCTTCCACCGCACCCAAGAGGGCTGCGCGGTCGAAAGGACTCCTTTTCATTCTTAAGTGTGGGTCGCAGCTGCTCATGGCCATGGTGTCACGGTGGGGATGAGCAGAGGGTGTGGACCGCAGACGTCCGCAGCTCAGGTCCGCTGCCGCGCTGTGTGGCTGTGAGGGAGGAGGGAGCTGGGTCCTGTCCCCACAGAAACTTGTCTCCTGGGGTCTAATTACTGACTGCCTTTGGGGAGCCAGGCAGGAGTTGCTGTGGTAATGGGGAGCAACAGGTGACTGGTTCAGTGGGGTCACAGTTGGCATTGGCTGCTGGGTGATGTTGGCTGGTGGCTCCGTGCGCATGCACACAAAGTTCTCTCCCAGCCCTCTGCACCAGAGCCTCGGGGAGGAGGTTAACCTGAGGTTCAGCATTACTGGGCCTCCTCTCTAGCTCCCGCCTCATGGCACAGACCGGAGGACCTGTCCATCTGTCAGCTCAGGCCGACAGTGCGTGACTTCATCCGCTCTTCAGAGCTCCTGTCTCCAAAGGCTTTCCCTTCTTGGGGTGTGGGGGTGGGGGGGTCGGGGGAGGTGACCCTTGCTCCCTGCCGCACAAGAGACCAAGGCTAGAGCCACCTCTGAGCCCTGGGATTTGGTGCCAGCCTGGGGAGCACAGTGAGATCCCCTCTCAAACAAACAAACAAGCCGGGCGCTGGTGGCTCACGCCTGTAATCTTAGCTACTCAGGAGGCTGAGATCTGAGGATCTCGGTTCAAAGCCAGCCCGGGCAGGAGAGACTGTGAGACTCCTATCTCCAATAAACCACCAGAAAACCGAAAGGGCCCCGGAACTCAAGTGGTAGAGCGCTCGCCTTGAGCTGAAGAGCTGAGGGACAGCACCCAGGCCCAGAGTTCAAGCCCCACGACCGACAAAAAAAAAAAAAAAAAAGTACCTGGAAGCCAGTGGCTCATGCTTCATCCTAGCTACTCAGGAGGCTGGGATCTGAGGATTCTGAGGTTCAAAGCCAGCCTGGGCAGAAAAGCCCACAAGACTCTTCAGTGAACCACCAAAAAGCTGGAAGTGGAGCTATGGCTCAAGTGGTAGAGTGCCAGCCTTAAGCAGAAAGAGCACCCAGGCCTCAAGGTTAAGCCCTGGTACTGGCACACACAAAAAGTCTTAGTATGCAAATTTGAGCCCATACCAGCATCTTTTGCCTGCTGGGTGAGCTCCATCCTCAGCCTCCTTGTTTCCTAGCTGTGCTTGGGGTAAAGCTGGGGAAACAGATCTCACTCACCATGGCTTCTCCATGTGGGCATCCCAGTCGTGATGGAGTGGGGGGTTGCTGCTGGAAGGGTGTAGACAGGAAGGGAGGGAAAGGCAGATGGAAGTGGGAGGCCTTAACAAAAATGGGGGGCGGAGAGGGACAGGAACAGAGTGTACGCAGAGCTTGGTGGGCAGGGCAGGGGCTGGGGTGGGCGGGGCCTGACAGGTTGTGTTTTCCTGGGCCCACAAGTATCTGTCCATCAGTATGGTGTCAGTGGCTTCTGTCACAAAGCCACACAAGGTGGCCATGGGGGGGGGGACCTACAGTCTTTCGTCTGAGTATGGGAGTGCGATCTGAAATAAGCTAGCAATGCTGCTCCCTCCTGCAGCTCCAACCCCTGTGTGTCCCAGCTTCCAGAGAGCCCCCGGTGCACCCCCTCCCCTCCCCCCTGGCTGGCTTTGAACCTCCATCTCTCCATCTTCAGATCTCAGCCTCCTGGGTAGCGCTGGGGTAACAGGTCTGAGCCACCAGTACCTGGCACTTTGTTTAGAAGTCAGTGCACTTTTTCTTGGTTGGCAATACTAGGGTTTGAACTCGCACTTGCCAGGCAAGGCGCCCTGCCCCCAGGCCTCTTTTTCCTTAGCCTAAAAGTTGATGAGGAAGAATCGCACAGGGGAGCACCCTTGCTTGCCGCCCTCCATCAGCCTCTGCAGACCTGTTAAGGGGTCACCCCTTGAGTCTTTTCTTCTCTGTTCCCCTGGACACACCTGCTTGCTGTGCACAAGGTGCTTGTAAACAAGCAAGCAACCCCCCCCACATTCCATGCAAGTATTGCTTTGTTAGAGAAAAGATTATTTAGCCCAGTGTTGGGGGGCCCCAGGCACAAGGTGACAAGGCTGCGTGGGCTTGGGCTGCTGGATGGGGTGACGCATTGTGGGTGCAGTGTGTCACATCTCCAGCCAGGAAGCGGAGAGGCTGAGAGGGGTCCCCAGGCCCCTTTGAGGGACCAGGCCTTTGTCTCGTATGCCCTGGGGACATGGTCTCATTTAGCTCCGCCTGGTCTCCTGGGGAGGGAGAGGCACGGGGTGCTGGGCATGGCTGGATCTCACAGTGGGTTACTGTCAGGCCTTGCTGTGGGCACCCCGGGCAGCAGGTCGGGTGTTGGGGCTGCCCTGCTCACCCCCTGGCCCCCCTGCTGGTCCCTCCCCACAGCGGCCAGTTTGCCATCGTGCGCAAGTGCCGGCAGAAGGGCACGGGCAAGGAGTACGCCGCCAAGTTCATCAAGAAGCGCCGCCTGTCATCCAGCCGGCGGGGCGTGAGCCGCGAGGAGATCGAGCGCGAGGTGAGCATCCTGCGGGAGATCCGGCACCCCAACATCATCACGCTGCACGACGTCTTTGAGAACAAGACCGACGTGGTGCTCATCCTGGAGCTCGTGTCCGGCGGGGAGCTCTTCGACTTCCTGGCCGAGAAGGAATCGCTGACGGAGGATGAGGCCACGCAGTTCCTCAAGCAGATCCTGGACGGCGTCCACTACCTGCACTCCAAGCGCATTGCCCACTTTGACCTCAAGGTGAGCTGGGAGGGGGTGGGGGGGCGCAGGGCTGAGGCCGGGGTCTATGGAGAACCATCCCTGCGCCGGTGCCAGCCTCAGCCTGTCATCCCCCGCCCCCAGCCTGAGAACATCATGCTGCTGGACAAGCACGCGCCCAGCCCCCGCATCAAACTCATCGACTTCGGCATCGCCCACAAGATCGAGGCTGGCAACGAGTTCAAGAATATCTTTGGCACGCCTGAATTTGTGGGTGAGGCCCCTTGGGGCAGCAGCAGGGCCTGGTCGACCCAGGAAATGATGGGGGCGGGATGGGGGGCCACGGGGCTTCAGTCGGGCCTGTCATGATCTAGCGTTCCTGTGTACCAGGCCCCCTCGTCATGAACCCCCAAGTTTGGTGGGGCTGGAGAAAGCCTCCATTGTCCCGTTGTACCTGACCCCCCCCTCCCACCCTCCCCGTCCCCACAGCTCCTGAGATTGTTAACTACGAGCCCCTGGGCCTGGAGGCAGACATGTGGTGAGTGGGCAGCTGTCCTGGGGTGCACACGGCCTGCGCTCCCCCTCTTCGCTCGCCCCCTGCTGTGGGGGGGCTGCAGGGGTGTGGGGTGTGGGGCGCTGCTGCCGTGGGCTGTGGCCCGGCTGCCGGGAGGCCCAGCTCGTGTGTCTGTGCATGGGGGCAGCTGACCGCGTGGTGCTGTGGAGCCCGTGGTGCTCTGTATGTCGTGACCCTTGAGCGGTTTGCCAGCCTCAGCCCAGACCACAGCAGGCCCGTGCGCACACTGTGCGTGGTGCGTTCTGCCCTGTCCCGGGTCCTGGCTGGCCTGGGGATGGCCAGGGGGCCCTGTCCTGAGATGGGACCAAATAGGGCCCTGTAGGGTACCAGCCCTGCGGAGCGGGGCGGGGTGTGGCCCTCTAGGAGGGGGCGCTGGCTTTGCGAGCAGGGGGCTGCTTCTGGCTGCGCTGACCCCCACCTGTCTCCACAGGAGCATCGGCGTCATCACCTACATCCTGTGAGTACCTGTCCGGCCTCACCGGCTCCGCTGCTGGTGGCATCGTGCCGCATCCTGGCACGGACGGGGGGGCGTGGTTCTGCACGTGCTGCCTCCACCCAGCCAGCCAGCCAGTTGTGGGGTGACCCTGCAGGCCTGGCTGGGCGGCTTTGTGCTCCCTTCCCTGGGCAGCGCCCCTTCCCGCTGCTCACCTCTGCGCCTGCCACTCAGCCCGTGTGTGAGGGACAGGAGGCACCCAGAATAGATGACACCCCCTCTTGTCAGTGTGTCCTGTGAACGCAGGCCGTGGGACCCTGCTCCAGGAGCCAGGGAGCCCCTGCTGATGCGCTTAGCCTGCCTACAACCTGACATGTGGCCTGTCTTCTCCCTCCTGCCGCCTGTCCCTGTGCAAATGGCTGCACTCAGGGCTCATCCATCACCCCGCCTCCCCCAAGCACCCCCAAGAGCAGAACATTAGGGCAGAAGCCCCAGCAGTGGCAGGGCCGGGTCCCCTGCCCAACCCCAGTGGATGGCTGCTGCTTCCTACAGTGAGCCTCCACCCAGAAGCCAGAGTTTGGGGGGGATGACCCCCTCTCCCTGGTAGTCAGTGCGAGTGGGGTAGCGGGGCGGTGAAGCTCCCGTGGGGACCCAGGCCTGTCCTCTGCTCCAGCCTCAGCGGCGCGTCCCCGTTCCTGGGGGAGACCAAGCAGGAGACCCTGACCAACATCTCTGCTGTGAACTACGACTTTGATGAGGAGTACTTCAGCAGCACCAGCGAGCTGGCCAAGGACTTCATCCGCCGCCTCCTGGTCAAAGACCCCAAGTATGTGGCGGCTGGGCCTGGGGGGGCAGAGGCTGGGGGCCCTCGCTGCCCTCAAGCTGGGAAACGCATAGGCAGCGTTGCACACAAAAGTTCAGTTTAGGTTTTTCCTAGAAAACTATAGAGTCCTGGACCCGATGGCACCGACCTGTCATATTCCAGAGCTTGGCAGGCTGGGGAAGGAGGATCAGGAGTTGTAGGCCTGCCCGAGCTGTTCAGCTAGACTTGGGGCACAGCACCAAGCAGTGAAAGAGCCCAAGGCCCAGCATACAAAAAAAAAGCAGGTGCCGGTGGCTCCCGCAGCCACTCAGGACGCTGAGATCTGAGGATCACGGTTCAGAGCCAGCTCGGGCAGGAAAGTCTGTGAGACTGTGATCCCCAATGAACCAGCAGAAAGCTGGAAGTGGCGCTGTGGCTCAAGTGGTAGAGCGCTCGCCTTGAGCTGAAGAGCTGAGGGACAGCGCCCAGGCCCGGAGTTCAGGCCCCAGGACTGACACCAAAAAAGGAAAAATCTAGAGTCCCTATCGCTCAGGCCCAGCCAGCTTCTGGCCCCACGGCCTCCCCGGGGCTTCCACCGCCCCTGGCGGGGCCCCATTGCCGGTGGGACGGGGGGCCTGGGATGGGTGGGGGGGCTGCTTGCCACCTGCCGTGGGGAGACACGGGGGACACGGGTATGGGGGGTGCAAAGGTGACGGGCAGCGTCTTTCAGGAGAAGGATGACCATCGCCCAGAGCCTGGAACATTCCTGGATCAAG